TTAACTAGCTCTACCCAACTCAAATCAGTATTATGCTTTAAAAACAAAAATACAAAACACAGACCCAGCTCCCCTAACGTGAGACGATGTCATGATACCAGGCCTCGAGGTATATCTCACCGTATATTGCCTGCTCAACAGGTAGCTCGATACCCAAACGTTGGACCGTTGGGGTATAGGACGTGAAAGGAGGCTATATCGATTGGAGGCTCTACTGGGCAACCACCGTCAGCGTTGTTACTGCAACATGAAAACACATCGGACACGATGTTGTGAAACATTTTTATTAAATTTAAAATATTCAAGTATCCTCGTGAAACGGCGTCGGATGCAACGGGATGAAGCTCCTGAATGTTCAGAAATGAAAATGGGCCGATTCTCTTTGAGCTCTGATAATGGAACTTTCGTAGCATCAACTTAGTAAGAGACATAACTGATCGTTAAAAATCAGAAAGTAGAACATTATGGCTTGGAGTAGGTTAACTTTATGCAAATGTATTATACAAGGTGATTAATAGCAGGTGTGAGAAAAAAAGGATTTTTCTACATAATAAAATAAAATAAATATCAATAGTAACAAAATTTCCGTTGAGCCATCACGATTTAGATAGTTGGAACCATTTAAACATTAGTGTGCAAACTGACTAAAATTGAACAATGTACAGACAATCAGCAAGCACAAGGCAGCTGAAGGGAGAGACTTACGGCCAGCACAAAAAATCAGTGGGGACCACATGGGACTGTCATTTTGAAAATTCTTGAACATATAGCTTTAAACCCACATACTCCATGCAATACTGAATGAGTATTCACCAATATGTGTTTGCAAACGTTGACGGTGCTGTTAAAGGCGTACGTATTGTGACGGGGATTTGCGTGAAAAAATAAACACAGCACTTGCGTTGATCCCGGTCATCGAAGACACGATTAAATGATAAAACATTTACAAAGCACTTCGATTAGCTCGATAGGTCTCGTAAGATTGGTAAAAGTTTATGATAATTGCAACTATTATGCTTCAATCGAAATAACGGAAGTCGCAGCGAGATGGGCAAAGTAAATGTATGCATAAGATTTAGAGTAGCATTGTTGTTCTTTATTACCTTGACCCCTTTTTATAAGCTGGGTACAGGTGGTGGGGATGTCGCGCAGTCGGTCACATGCGAGCCGAGCGTTACAGTATCATGTATTAGAGACGTATGTGTTTTTTGCCAGTTATTGTAAGGACTGCACAGGTTTCAACGCATACTCCTCCACGCCGCACCAAGACCCATCAATCACAAACACTTAACTTTCGTTAGCCAATATTTCATTAATCATCTTTAACAGCATCGTCAACGTTTCCAAGCCTCCTGCAGACGTGCATACAACACTAACGAAAAGATCTACGATTCAATGACATTTCTTCTATTCGACATGCTTTGGTGAAAAAAGTGACCATGGAAAAATAGGGATCGATCTGCATGTGATGGCCTTTTCCAAGGAAAGCCTGAACAATATATTCTTTTGTCTGTATAAAACATGCACGATACTGTTTCGCAGACATTTCTGTACTGATTTATTAATTGTGTTTTCCGTGAGATATAGTGTAATTTTATTTGATGCAATTAGTGTAGCACTCCGATGGATACTTGCGGTGCATTTGTCATCTTCTTAACGAATACCTAGGCATGCGTGTGTGTGTATATGTATACATGTATCTATACATGCTCCTTAGTAGACACTCGCTGTTTATATGCACACTCTTCATGGAACATTCATTATGTATGTGCGAACTCTTCATAAAACATTCATTATGCAAGTGCGAACTTGCATGAATACTTACCATATATATGAATACTTATTACATGTATACAACTATTTTGGATTATGAACAGTGAGGATTTCATGAGGTAGGTAAGTAGATTCAATGATGTATAAGAATTTTCGAAATGACACTCAGATTCCTGTGGCACTGATGAATAGGTATCGTTTAATCTCCCACAGTTTCTACGAGATGCGTTTCTACGTCCCAGTGACTTTTTACGGTGACTTTGAACACCTCCTTTCAGCTACTATGTGATTGTCGGTTGGCTGCGAATCGCCAGTTTCAGACAGTTCCCACCTTAACTTTTAAATTCTCATAACAAAAAGAATAAAGGCTCAACCGTCAAAGCATCCGAAAAATATCGAAAATAACTGATACAGTATCAGAAATCAACAAAGAAACCATGAGACAACTCGGTTGCGGGTATATCGAATACTTGCAAAAACACTTAATAGTGAATGTTTCTAGGTTGATAGGTATTTTTAATTCTTTAAATGGTGTACGGCGGCACACATTCGCTCTGAATCAATGAAGTAGTTTTTTAATGTAATATAATCACGCATACAAGATGGCAGCCCCTCATGAGAAATCAATGTGACACCGGTCTCTTAATCGCGATGCACACTTCGCATTTAATTAATTAAATAGTCTGCTCTTTTTAATGTGAGACGTGAAATTGAAACTGTCGCGCATACGTGACAGCGATCTCTCGTGGGAGTTCTAAGCGAGAAACAGAATGAAGGAGATTGGATCGTTACGTGTACGGTAATGATGGGAATTCGGCGCACGCCGACGTGACTTCGTAATTAAATCAGCCGTGATTGGTTTTTGTATAGTGGCAAACATCACCTGTATATCCGAAACGTCCCGAGGGAAAATATAAAATAGGTACCTACATTCGTAGGATACAAGTCGATACTCATCTTTCGAACAAAGTGCCTGTATTGATCCATGGAAACACCTTTCTGTAGAAGCCCCATAAACGTCTCTTAAATGACAGACGCTCTGGATTTTTTGTCTTGCATGTTGAACCCTCACGGTATTGGCAGGCATATCAAGCATTCGTGAATACGGCCTCTAATGGGAATCAATTCGTCGGGACTCATTTTATAATAAAATAATGAAATTCGTATGACGAAAGAAGAAATGAAAGCATCATCAGGGTAATTAATAGATTCGACTGGATTTGTTATAATTCATGGATAGCAGGTTCTACTGTCAGGTTTTACGAGCAGGTCAGAACTGTCAGAAATGGAGTGATCAACAGGGCCAATAATTCGATGATGGAAACCGAGCGATTAATCAATCCCAACACGGCTTCAAATGGTTTTGTACAAGAAGCAGCGTTCACGATCAAGATTAGCATCTCATGGGCACGATGCTTACTACTACACGCTGGATTATCGGAATGATTTTGGGCAGCTGTTATGGACACTATAAATTATATTAGAAATGTCTGGGTATGACCTAGGGTACCTCGGGGTTACCAAACCTGATAAATCGATGTGCGGTCCCATGAGGATGTGAGCTCGGGCACCTCAAGGTCGCTAACATTCGTACCACAGACGGCCGAGACCGACTGCAGCCCCTGAGAAATCTAAAGAAATACATACATATATCGTGATTTAGCGTGCGGCTCCTGCCTTGCGGCTTAATCCCCACGGCCCCCGTGGGCGCGGAATTGGGATACGCCCAATTAACGCGTGGAGACTCCTTGAAGAGGCAAAGGCCCCCACTATTAGAATTGATGTCTGGTTACGAGCCCGAGATGCATCCACTCCAATGGGTGCGAGCACCTTTTTAAAAGCTCTACCAGCTCTGCAGGCCTGTGCCCGGTTGTAAATTTCCACAACTCCACAATGCATGCACAGCACCCTGCCCCGCGATATTTTGGCTATCACTGCCACTACGAAAGTTCTACGTCTATCGGCCGGGCAGGAAAGCCGGGGATAAACACCCAGCTATGTCCCGAGGCTTGGGAACACCGCGGAATCAGTCGAACCCCGTATCAAGCAAACGTTAAATATAACGATCGCGCTACCAGTCTAGTTATCTCGTAGTTCATGACACTGGCCAGACAGATCAGGAGGGATGGTCCGGAATCGCCAGTTCCCGCGTGTCAACTTTTATGAAACCCTTGGATGAATCTAAAGGGATACAGTATGGCAGACTGTAATCCTGTGGCCATACCCATGGACAAACACAATTTTTAAGAAAGCAAAAGATGACGGAAATAAGAGGAGGCCGTATCGCAAATTAGTCGGGCCCCTCATGTATTTGACGGTCGCTACCAGACCGGACATGCTGTCAGCGTCTTTGCCCAGTTTAACGACTATTATGGAGACGAGCACTGGGCAGCTGCTAAAAGAGTCCTAAGATATTTAAGAGGTACAATTAATCATGGCATTATTTTTAAGGCTTCAGGTCAGGGTGCATCCGTATATGTAGATGCCGATTGGGGAAGGTACTAGGTGGATAGAAGATCATACGCTGGATATGTGATCCGGTTTTTACAAGGTCCTGTAATCTAGCGGTCCTTCACTGAAGCTGAATACATGGAGCTAATAGCGGCCGTGAAGGGTGGAATTTATCTACAGGAGATTCTGAAAGAAATTGGATTGGAAGAATTCGCAAAGATATCCATTTATGGCGATAATATCGGAGCACAATTATTGGCGAGAAATCCAATAGTTAGTCCGATAATTGGAGGTTTCATTTCTTGCGTTATGTTTTAAAGAGAGAACATTTTTTTCTAGAATACTTACCATCCAAGCCTGTGCCAGCTGATGTGTTAACCAAGCCGATGACCAAAGACAAACATTATTTTTATGTAGATGCGATAGGTTTAACCCTTCTTTGCATGATTTTTTCTATTTTTTTAAAATAAATCAGGGTGATGTAATTAATGCTCTAGATTAAAGGAAAAATATTTTAAAAAATCCTAATGTAAATAAAAATATGTATTATGTAAAAAACAATATGATGGAAATTTACATCATCATGCATTGTCACATATTTAGCTCAGTACTAAATAAATAAAAAAATATTGTTTACTCAATCTTCTTTATTCTTTATGATAATTTAAAAAACAATTATTATTTTTATTTAAGCACAAATTGACGCCACATTTACTACACGAAATTGTGGAATAGCCTTTACATTTGGGAAATTTGCACCGGAGTGACCCACCTACTTTTGGCCAATGTTCAGCACCATCTTTTCTTATGTCTTTTGGAGGTGGTGGAGCTGGAGAACCTTTTCTTTTTTTTGATTGTAATTCTTCTTCTAGTACGCTGGTACTAGGACGCCCTCTTTTAGCTTCTTTGGTGGTTCCTCTGTTGCATAGCACAAAGGCCAATTCATTTCTGAATTGGCCCATTGTAAGCAGACTCTTTTTAGGTTCACCTCTTTCTTGAGCATTTTTTTT